CAGCCGGGGGGGGGGGAGGCCGGCGGGGACCGAAGACCGAGCCACGGCTAGAAAGGGAAAAAGAAGGGAGGAAGGGCAGGGAGCGCGGGGGAGACCGGGCGGCAGTACTCGCCTCGCAAGGCGCGCACCGGCTGCTCTGGCTGCTGCGCCGGCGGCCGCTGCGCTGGCCGCTGCTGTGCCGGCTGGCGGGCGGCACGGCCGCCGGCGGCCGCTGCACCCGCGCCTTCCCTCGCGGGCGCCGTCGCGCCGCGCGCGCCCAACTCTGCTGGTACACGGCACGCGTCGTCACACAGCCGCGGAGAACAGGCGGTGCTGTGCGCGAAGGGCGCGCGATCTCGTACTTTTAAGGCTGGATCCGGCCATTCCAAGGGTATAACCTTTGAGAATCCCCAGCGTCCCACCCTCCTAGTCACACTCTCAATATCTCGACGCACTAGCCAACATGAAGTGCTGCGATCTGGAGTGCCCCATTTCTTTTTCCTTTCTTTTTTTGGGTCCTGTGGGCACCCTATGCTAGGGGAAACCCGGAGCGCAGAGCTAACCCTCGGGCACCCGTGTTTACTTTACAGCCCTTTCCCTGCGAACACGCACCCCCCCTTAGGGGTCAGGGCTCTCTAGCCCGTAGCCCGATGCCGATCATCCTGCATCCGGCCCGCTGGGTACGCTTCTTAGCTCCCCGGCCCTGGATGTGAGGTTACCGACTGCACTCCAAGTGCTCCAAGTACTCAAGCCGTCATCTGTCAGCTCCCCCCCCCCCCCCCCCCTCTCCACCAGGGGTGAGGCTCGGCTTGCTCTGGTCAGCTTACGAGCCGATGTTCTGTATCTGCTGCGTTGTCGTCGACAGAAGAGTTTAGTTCGTGCGGCTCATCCAACAAAGGCGGTTGTACTCCTTGGGGCCCACAAGGTCTCGGAGGTACTCGATCGCCTCGGCGTCACCGAGCGTATGTGCCTTGTCGGTGGAAGCATGCCGCAGCTTGACCTCCTGGAGCCCCTGTCGGCTGTGCCGCGCACCCCACTTGTTGTACAGCCAAAGCAGGTCGGACGGGTCGCACGCGTGCTCCAGCAGAGTCTGGACCCACTTGTGGTCAACCTGCGCCTCAGGCAGGTCAGAGGGGATGAGCTGTGGAGTACCGGTTAGGAGGCTGCAGCCTACTAGGTCAGAGATCTTGACCGAATCAACGGTGCTCTTCGCCTCGTCCAGGTGGCTCTCTTGCAGCCGTGGGATGTGCAGGCTCATGAGCACGTTGGCAGCATTGAGGTCGGCCTCATTGCGCGAGGGGGCCTCATTGCGCGAGGGGACGGGCAAGGAGTGCTGCGGGCACACTTCCTCCGGCTCAAGGTCCTCCGGCTCAATCTTGACCATGGGTTCTGGCTTGCCGCAGCGAGGCGTTCCCTCCTGTTCCCACTGCAGGTGGCTGAGCGCCTCAGAGTTCCCAAGGGCCTCCCACTGTGCGTCGCCGTCATCATAGACGACATAGTGAGTCTCGTCGATCACGGAGAAGTCCTTGATGCACCCTCGGAACCACATCTTCTCCGGTGGCCAGTAGATGCTCAAGCGCCGGCCGAGCACCTCTTGCCCGTACTGCTTGGCCCGTGCAAGCGCCGCCCTCTGCTCCGGATGGATGTGCATGACACGCCGGCTCGTTCGCCGATGCAGGGAAGTGGCATGCGAGGACAATGTACCCTCGCGGTCAAACGTGGTGCAGGGGACCAGCGCTGGCAGAGGGGGAAGAGAAGATGACTGAGTTGCGGCGCGTTTGTCCATCAGTACCTCACCCGCAACAGTTTTCTTCACCTTGCTTTTCTTGTACTTCACCTTGCTTGCCTTGTAGGCCTTGAGCTCGCTCCCCTTCATGTCGTGGATGGTTTCCCCGTCGTCAAACTCGATGCAGTGCTCAATCCCCGGGCACTTTCCTCCCTCAGTCACAAGCTTGATGCTCTTGACCACACCCCTGTGGTAGCGCATCCCCTCACCCTCCTTGAACTTGTGCATGACCGGATCACCCACCTTGAATTTGCTCTTGTACGCCTGCTTGTGCTGCTTGCGCTGCGTGGAAGCCGCGTCGCCGAGCCCGGGCTCCCTTGCCACCTCCTCCTTCTCGTTGTTGTAAACCTTGATGTCCGTCACCTCTTCCTCGTTGCCAGCCTCCTCGTGTGTCTCACCACCCTCGCCGGCCACACCCTCGAACGCCCCGCGGGAGCGCTTCTTCTTGCACGCCTGCAACTGCTCGTCAGCGGCGTTTGATCCGAGCGTCAAGTGGCCTTCCTCTTTCGGCGAGGGCATGGCGCGGCCCGTGAACTCGTCGAGGAGGTCGCCACCAGCAGGGATCCCCACCTGCCACAGGCCAGCGGAGGGCACCTGCGGCCCGCTCCAGTGAGACGGCTCGGGTGCGCCGTCAGAAATGCGGCGTCGTGCGCCACGCTCTTGGATCAAGCCCTGCTCGCACGAAACGCAGACAAGGACGGCCAGCGGGCGACAAACAGACGGGTGTGGCAGGCGAAGCCCCGACACTCGCTCCTCATCGGGGCGAGTGCAGAGGCAGCAAAGGGACATGGCAAAAGGGGCAAGGACAGGGCGGCTTGCTCGGACTCTCGATCCTTCCAAAATCGAACACACCAGAGGACCCACCCTAATTCCGAAATCAACGAAACCGTGATTGTTCAGCTCGTCATTTTGAGCTCGTCACCCAAGTATTTAAAAATCGCTGTGTGTGGCGGCGTGCCGTCCTCCCATCCCTCCCTTGGGTACGTTGTCTGTTGCCGTCTTCTCTTTCTTTCTTTCACAACAGTCAACACGGGGACGGGACTGGCGCGCGAAAAAGAATTTGCGCCGTCGTTTTGACCACGACGGCACGCTCTGTCTCTTCACAACACTGGACTCCGCCTCCGTGTCGTCTCCCTCTGACAGTGAGCCGCCTGCTGTGTGCTGAGCCTCCGTTACTCTAGCGACTAGCGTACGCTCGGCGCGCGCGGCGACGCGTGCGCCACGTGAGCCCGCAGCCCTGCTCTCTCCTACCACGAAGTCGCCCATGCACCTCAGGCCTCAGGCGCCCGCCCGCCCGGCCGGAGCAGCCCCCTGACGCGTCGCCGCAAGAGAGCCGCCGCGCTCGAATTGCGAATTGGCCGCCTTCCGCCGTCCCCCTCAATGCTTGCCGCTCGCCCCCCCCCCCCCCCAAATCTTCGCATTCACTTCCTACAGAATTTTACAACGAAGCTCCCTCCGGTCGGGAATAGCTACTCGTACCCCGACGTGGCGTTGCCCGCCCACGTCCAGACCGGCACATCCCCAATGTACTCCACGAAATCGGCGTGGTGCCGCGTCGGCCTCCCCTCGCCGTCTATCACCTTGAGAAGGGTGTACCCGCCAAAGGGCACGCAGGTCACACATCGGCGCGATGGAGGGATTCTTTGTGGGGGACGACGCCGTAGATCACATCTTTGACAGTCTCGGTACGTGCTTCCCGTGGATATCGATCCCGATGTTCCTCTGGGACGAGGCGATCCGCAGCAAGGGCGAGCTCGCGAGGCTCGTCTTCACGGGCCGCGAGCTGGCGATGGCCAACTTGCTGCTCGGCTACTTCGGGGTGCGAGTCTACGAGGACGCGGTGCTCACCATCGGCCCAAAGCACAACGACAATCCGTTCGTCCAGCACAACGTGTGGCACAGTCTGCGCAAGGGCATTGAGTCTCACCTCACCCACATGGAGAGCCAGCTCGACGCGAGTGGTGGCCCCTTCCTCTGTGGCGCCTTCTCCTTGGCCGACGTGTCGATCGTTCCCTTCTTCCAGCGCGCCTCGATCACGCTGTGGCTGGATGAGCTGCTGCCTCACTTCCCGGTGGCGGCAAAGTGGTGGGACGCGTGCAAGGCACGGCCTGCCTACGAGGAGTGGGTACCCAAGTACGGCGGGCCGAACGCGCCGCACATGGACGTCGCCGCCATGCAGCAGTGGATCCGCGAGCAGCGTGCGAGCCATCCTAAGTTTGACGCGGTGTACAAGGGCACCTACCCCGAGTTCACACCAGAGGTGGCCTGCTGAGCACGGCGATCGCCCACTCTTCTTCCCGACACTCCCGCCGATGCATAGCGCGATTTCTTTTTTAAGAATGCTCGCGCCGAGCCGAGCTAGGAGTGCTGGTCGCGTTGTGCTGGGCGACGGCCGCCTCGTGCGCGCACTGGCCAAGAAGGCCAAGGCGCCCGAGAAGGCGGGTGCTGCGCCGCCGCCTCCACCGTCGGGGACCGGCGTCGTGCGAGGCGCCAACATACTGAAGGACGGCGCGGACCCGCCGATCCTGCCCGACTCGGAGTATCCGGACTGGCTGTGGACAATGTGTGTGACCGCTGCATCACCGGAAGGAGCTTGCACCCACCCTCTCGCGCTCACGCTGCCCGTCCCGTCTCCCGCCGCGCAGACATCAGCCGAATCCGCCGTTTGAGGAGCTGCTGGAGAGGGCGGAGAGGGACGGGGTCGACTCGCTCGGGTACTTCGAGCAGCGGCTGCTGCTGCGCGGGTACAGCAAGAAGCGAATCAAGGAGCACAACGCCGAGCGAGGCAAGTAGGGAGATACGTAGCTGATCGTGTTGTGCCCGTCGCGAGCCGTTGGGGCGTGTGCGCTTTAGGCTTTTATCTCTATCTCGTCGCAGATAACATATTGTTATTCGCGGCGCGGCCCCGGAGATTTTTTGCACTGCATGGTGTGAACAAACACACGCTTTTCTTTCTCACGTGCCCTCGCAAAGCGCATCCACCTCTGCCGAGAGCGTGCGCATTGCGTGCTGCAACGCCCTGGCGCGCTCGAACAGGTGGCCCCAGAGCACCTCGTCGGTCGTGCCGGCTGCCTGCGCGCCAGCGCCGGCCTCGGCCCCCTTCACGGCGAGGCCGATACCCCGCGCCGGCTCCGACCGAACGGGCCCGCTTGGCTCGGCGCCAACATCGGCGGTCGTCGGCCGCTGGCAGAGGACGGCCGCCCACTCCTCGCACGCGGCCGTCATCGCTGAAACCTCGTCGCGCGCCGCGTCGACACCGCGCGCCGCGCCGCTCCAGCTGGCGCGTGAGGGCCGCCCCGCGGCGGCGTTGACGCTCCGCAGCGAGCGCGCCACCGCGTGCCTCACCCCGTGAAGCACCGCCTCAACAGATGCGACCTGATAGGAGCGGCTCAAAGTAACGGTGTGACTGAGGGACTGGCGGCGCGAGGGCGGTCTGAGGCGACCCGCTGCTGCAGCAGCCGCTCCTCCGCCGCCGGCTTGGCGTGCCTTGCCTTTGGGCTCATCGGCATGTCCATGGGCGCTGGACGTGGAGGCGCCTCCTCGCCCTCGGCCGCCCCCTCGGTCGTGGAGAGCGCCGCGCCCGGGGAAGGGGCGGGGAGGGACGTGGCCGGAGAGAGGGACGGGAAGGCCACGCCTTGCGACGCCGCGGGAGGGCAGCCGCGGCGGCGGGGCTCGATGGCGGTCAGCGGCGTCGCTGCTGGGCCGCGGCCGGCGGCATCGCCGCTCGACGCAGGCGGGGAGACGCCTAGGATCCTCACAGCCGACTGCGCTCAGGAGGTGGCGTCGCGTCACCGTCGTCGTGTCGCGGAGCATCCCGGGACCAGAGGCGGAGCACGTCGTGCGGGGAGTGCGGCGGGGCACGAAGAGCGGCTGGTCAGGCTGGGCACTGCCCTTCCGGGCGCGGTGGGGGCGGTCCGAGTCGTCAAAGAGGCGAACGGGCGAGTGCCTCGCGCCTCGTGCGGGCAGGCCGTCGGAAGGCTGCCTTGCCGCCGACGCGGGCGAGGCCGCCTTGGCCGCCAAAGAGTGTGAGAGCGCCGCCGCCGCCGGAGAGGAGCACGAGAGCGCACCCGCCGCCGGACAGCACGAGAGCGGCGAAGGGGGCACCGACCGCCCGCGCGGCGAGGCGCGCGACGAGGCGACCGCGGCGTGACGCGACGCCGCGTCGGCGCGTCTGTCGGACATGCCTCGGACAAGTCATGGACGTGTCCTGGCCAGGGCAGCAACCGCGCCGCCGCGCCGCCTTCGGGCGCTCCCGAGCTCGACGCGACACAAGTCGAGCTCGAGGGCGAGTGACGCCGCCTCGGCCCTCGCCGCGTCCACCTGGATGTGCCACGGACATGTCACGGACGTGTCGTGGACGTGGCCGGCTTCGGCCCCTCGCCGCGTCCCACCTCCGCCTCTGCCTCCTCGCGCACCGCCACCACCTCGGACGCGAGCGCCGCGAGTGCGTCTCGCCCCCTCGCCTAATTAATTAATTAGTCAAATAATTAGTTAAGTAGCGCCGCGAGTGCGTCTCGCCCCCTCGCCGCGGCCGCCGCCTCCGCCGCCGCCTGCGCCTCCACCGCCTCCACCGCCAACGGCTCCACCTCCGCTACCGCGCCCAGCGCCGCCGCAGCCTCGCCCGTGCCTGAGGAAAGCACCGGCGAGGCGCGCAGCTCGTCCGACGCCTGCGTCAGCCACTCGGGCTCCAGCGGCGCAGGCTCGCTCTGAGGCAGCGCCTCTCGAAGCGGACACCCCCCGACGCCCTGGTCGCTCGCGGCGCAGACGGCCGCGGCGGCGCATGCTGCAAGCGGCGCGTGCGCCGGCTCTATCCCCTCCTCTGCGAGGCGGACGCAGTCGAGGGCTCGCCGCACCTCGCCGGGGCTCGCCGCGGCGGCCTGCGGGGGGAGGCAAAGGGGGGCCCTCTCCGCGCGCTGGTGTGGTGGGGCGGCATTTGTGGGCTCTCCCCCCACAGCTCCCCACCCGAGGAGAGGCTAGGAGCGCCCCGCGGCGGCTGGAGCGGACGCGTCCGGTGCGCGTGGTGGGTGAGCACGTGGGGGTGGCTGTGTGGCTGGCGGCGGCCTGCGAGAGCAGGGCGCGCAGGTGTGCCCTTGCTCGCGGCGACGCGGGCGGCGAGCAGGACGTGCCACTCGTTGCAACCGGCCGGGCCGCCGCGTCCACCGCCGCCGCCGCGGTCGTGGAGCCAGCCTGGGCTTGTCCAGGCCCGTCCTCGATTGACGCCTCGCACGCCACGGCCACCACCGACGGCCGCCGCCTCGCGACTCGCCGCCACGCGCCCTGCAGCCTGAGCGCCGCCGCCGCGCGCGTCACACGCCCGAGTGCCAGCCGCAACGCGGACGCCTCGACTCGAGCGCAATGCGACCCCGCGCGAGCCTCGGCCAGCTCGGCTTCTGCCGCCGCCGCGCGCTTCCGCGCCCCCAGCGTGGCCTGCTCCGCAGCGGCCACCGCCGCGGCCACTCGCTCCGCCTCTCGCGCCGCAGCTGCTTCCGCCTCGGCCCGCGCCGCCGCCAACGCCACCTCTGCTTGCTCCCCCTCCCGGCAGCTCGCTGCCGCCGCAGCAGCAGCCCGCTCCTCCGCCGCCCTAGCGACTGCAGCCTCCCTCTCCTCCGCCGCCGCCACCGCCGCAGCAGCCTGCTCCTCCACCGCCGCTAGTCGCTCCTCCGCCGTCCTCGCCGCGGCGGCTTCCCGCTCCTCCGCCGCCCTAGCGACTGCAGCCTCCCTCTCCTCCGCCGCCGCCACCGCCGCAGCAGCCTGCTCCTCCACCGCCGCTAGTCGCTCCTCCGCCGTCCTCGCCGCGGCGGCTTCCCGCTCCTCCGCCGCCCTAGCGACTGCAGCCTCCTTCTCCGCTGCCGCCGCCACCGCCGCAGCAATCCGCTCCTCCGCCGCCGCCAGTCGCTGCTCAGCCGCCTCAGCAGCCGCCTCGGCGCCCGAGGCTTGTGCCAGGGCGCTCGCCGCCACCGTCTCCGCTGCGGCGGACCGGCCCACCGCGGCGGACACGAGGCACGCTGCAGACTCTTGCGCTGTAGCCGAAGACTCCGCCGCAGCGCGTGCCGCCTCGGCCAAACCGAGCACGGCCCAGTTCGCGCGGCACGCGCGGACAGCGGCCTGCAGCCTGCACGCAGCGCGCTCCCGCCGCGACCGCACCACGCTCATCAGAAGCGCCGCCTCGAGCGTCTCGCAGCGGACGCCTGCGGTGGCGGCGGCTTCCCGCTCCTCCGCCGCCAGCCTGGCGACTGCAGCCTCCCTCTCCTCTGCCGCCAGTGCCGCAGCAGCCACCCGCTCCTCCGCCGCTGCTAGTCGCTCCTCCGCCGTCCTCGCGGCGGCGGCTTCCCGCTCCTCCGCCGCCCTGGCGGCCGCAGCCTCCCGCTTCGTGAGGTTGAGGCGCTCTCTGCGCGCCGCTGTCTGCAGCGTCGCCGCCGCCCGATCGGCCGCCAGGGCAGCACGCGCCTCGCTCGCGGCGCGACGCAGGGCAGCGCCCTGCAGCCGCAGCGCAGCAGCTTCAGATCGTGCCGCCGCCGCCGCGCGCCCTGCTGCAGCTGTCGCCGCGGCTTCGGCTGCGACCGCCGACGGCAATCCGCCCACCGCCGAGCCGTCGCCACACTGGCAGCAGGCATTTCTCCGCTCGAGAGGCGCCGTCTGACTTGCAGCATCCATGCATGGCGAGACCGCGTCCTCCAGCGCCGCCTGCCACCGAATGGCGTGACTGTGCAGGAGCTCGGCGCGTTCGCCAACCTCCGCGTAAGAGTCGATGAAGGACTGCATCGAAGGGCCCTGGCTCGACTGCGTCGACGGGTGTGGACAGCCGAGGCCTGTAAATGGAGGGCGAGGCCGGACGCCAGCTAAAGGCCGGGGGCCGACAACAACGGCCAAAGCCGAGGCGCGGCAACGATGTTTTTTCTCCGATTATGAAGAAAGAAAGAGACGCATCGACCTTTCTACCTACCTACCTTTCTATCTATCTAACTAGCAGCTACGATGCGGACGCGTATATGTGGCGGTTCCAAGTAGAAGCAAAGCCGGCAAACCAAGTAGGGCCGGGAGGGAGAGGCCTGCTCCGTGCTCACTCATGTATCCCAGCGTCTCTACTCTCTAGCCTTGACAAAGGTTCGGACGTCACGCACACTTTGACAGGGACGAGGGGGGACGTCGGAAATCGACACGTCCACTGGGACGAGTCTCAATTCATCAACTAGAATCTAGAATATGACTAGAAAGAAAGGGCTGCCCATGGGGGGTTGATCGCACTTCATAGCTCCCCGGCCCCGAAGCCTGATACCTCTTTCTTGGTGTCTCATTTACTAGGAATTGATCCTCGATGAACGGGTCGTCCTTGATCCACGCGTCGTCCTCGCTGGGCCGGCTGCAGCGGCCAGCGCGCGCGACCTTGCTTCTCCGCGGCTCGGCGTCGTCGGAGAAGCACTCCGACTCCGACTCTGAGTCGTCAAACGAGACCGCCTCGGAACCCTGCGTGAGGTACGCGGCCGCAAAACCAAAGCCCGCCACGCCAAAGGACCAGACATGTCGCTCCCCAGCGTCCCCATCCCGCTCAGCAGATGCGGCTCGAGGAGACCTCGGGCGTGCGCACGTGGCTGCCGCCGCCAGCCAGGCACGCATTCGCCACGGTCGACCAAAACCCACTCGCAAACACTGCACTGGCACTAACACAGATACAAAAAAATACATTCTTTGGCACGTACTCCAAAAACTTATTTCATTTACTGCCAAAAAAGAAAAACATCAGCGCGAGACAAACATATTCCTGCTATCCAGATACAAATATACACCGGAAAAGCCCCGACGCACTGACCTGTAGCGACGACCTAGATGCCCAGCCCTGCAGCAGCGTCCTGCCGAGTGTGTGTAGCACCGACGCAGGCGCACCCCAGGCACCACACTAGTCACTACAACGGCTAGGCAGACCTCACCAGTCCGATAAGGATCAACTGGAAGGTTGAACTTCGAGCTTAGACAGAACGGGTGCGACAGACTCCAGGGGAGATCGCGCTCTACTCGGGGCACCAAGGAGGAAAACCGAAACCGTTTGGGTGTGTCCGACACTGTTCGAAGACAAACCACCCCCGAACGCAGCCCAAACGCAAACCCCCCCCTCACGTCCCCCCCCCCCCCTTGGGAGGCACCGAGCATGGAGTAAGGTCCACAGTAGAGAGACAGGCATTTAAGGCGTAACTTCACCCTCGCTCACCTTTTGAGAGTATATCTAGGCGCCCGGGTGCAGTCGGTCTTCGGATCAGCGGCCAGCTTCCCATCTAGGGGGCAGGGAACCCCCAGCGACACGCTAGAGGCTATAGTGTGGCCTAGCGCCTACGGTAGCCACAGCTTGTACGCGATCCCGGGGCAGGGGGGTGTGGATTCTAGAGCTCCAAGAGAGGATAGGGAGAGGAAGGGAGGTTTTTCCGGCTAAGAATTTTTTTTCAAGTGTGGTGGCCTGGTGCACAGTGGTGTCAGTGCGCGTTTACACACAACCTTGATTTGACCATTTTGCGCAAAAAGGTACATGTCGGTGCCTTCCAGAGGCAGCTGCGAGCCCGCCGAGTGGACGGGGGCACACGGCAAGCCATCCATCGATCTCGAGCCGTCGCTTCCCCCCCACGACCCACCGCGCACCGGCCGCCGCACGCGTTCCCGAAAGCAGAGAAGACTAAAATCCTGGCCGCTGAGCAAGCCAACCGCACAGCTAGGCACGCCGCCGATCAAGAACGGGCAGTGGGCAGCCTTGGCAACATCTCAAAGAGCGGAGAGGACGTGCGGCTGATGGCATCGGTTGTGGAGTGTGTGAGGGGGGGGTACCGCGGCTTCCGCGCCCTCAGCAGTAGCCCGGCCAGGGCCAGCGCGAGGATGAGGCCGATAGTGACGCCGACCCACGTTCCCGCGCTGCCTCCGCCGCGGGCCTCCGCCACGAGTGCCGACACCGGAGTGGAGGGGGGCGGCGGCGAGGGTGAGAGGGGCGGCGGCGAGGGCGAGCCGGACGGCGGCGGCGGTTGCAGTTTTGGCGGTGGCGGTGGCGGCGACGGAAACACAGGGGGCGGCGACGGGGGCAGCACCAGGCACGTCGCAGCTCGGTCAGTATTGGGATCGTAGTACGAGGTGCCAGCCTCGTGAAAGACGCAGCGGCGCACCGGACTCTCGTCTGCAATGTCCGTGTAGCACTCGGTGGTCTCCTGGACGAGGTCGTCGGTGGATTTGGGGCCGTCCTTGTAGGTTTTCGTCGGGTCGCCAGGCAGGCACGGGTTTCCGTACGATGGGGGCCTTTTGCCAGTCTTTTTGACGATTGCGTTGCACGTGCCGCACGGGTCAAAGAAGGCCGCCCCGATGACAAAGATGAGCGCGTCGAATGCCGGGGCGGCGGGAGACGCGACGACCGCGTCCCTCCGGGAGTCCACATCGATGTCCAAGAGGGGCCGAGACGTGACAGCGATCGCCTCGCCGTCGGGGAGCTTCGACACGCCGTCGAGGAAGCCGAGACCAAAGAAGCCGCTGCCAACTTGCGGCGTCATGCCTTTGAGAAGGGAGGTGATGTCGCTCTTGGCAAAGGCGTCCGTGAGCGCAATCTCGATGGTCGAGGCCCGGCCGTCGGTGGGCGTGTTGGGAGAGGCGAACAGGTAGAGGTTGTTGCTCTTGTCCTGCACGACGGTCGCCACACGGGGCGTCGAGGTCCACGAGACGGAGACGGTGGGGTGCGCGGAAAAGTCTTTGTGGAGGACCGCGGTAGACGTAGTGCTCGACGAGAAGTCGATGAACACGCTGCTCATGTCCGTCTCGGGGGTGAAGGTGACAGTCATGGCGAGGCCGGCGGGGTAGGTGTCGCCCGAGCCAGTCAAGTCGCTGACGCTGACAGACTTCTTGTTTGTGGCGATAGTCGCAGTGAGGCCGTACTCGGCGGCGACGCTCTCGATCTCGCCGTTGGCAAAGGCGACCTCGACTGTGAGCCAGCGAAGGGCGGTGTCCGCGTCGATGAGCGTGCCGTACTTCCCGTTCGTGGACGTGTCGCTCGAGTACGCAAAGATCTGCATCGTCTGGCCGGCCTTGCGTCCAATCAGCGTGCCGAATGTAGGAGGCGCCAGCAGCGCGCGACCTCTCCCATCTGTCACGTCGAGTTGGATGTCGGCGTGCTGGACGGAGTCCGAGCCGCGGGCGTCGCCCGCGATGAGAGTGGGAGTGGGGCCGCTCGCGGCGGCCGAGCCCCGGACGAGAACGATGAGAGTCAAAAGTGGGCCGGCGCGCAACATGGGCGTGGCGGTTTGGGTGGCCCAGAAAGAAAGAAAGAAAACATGCAAGACAAGGGAGGGATGGGAGCAGAGTGCTCGTAAGGGCCTGTGCAATTTCTTTTTTCAGCGTTCACATTCAAGTATGTTTGCGTTTCAGCGGCTTCGAGGACAAACAGTACCAGTGTGTCGGGCGCCAGCACCTCGACCGACAGCTCAGCGACTCATCAGCGCAAAATCTGTGGGAAAATTGAGGAAATCGGCACGATACCCAGGCGGTCGCAGGGTATTGTCCAGGTATACCCGGGGTTTTTCCAGGTATACCCGCAAAATACCCGGTATTTTGCCGATTTGGCTGATTTTGGGCCCAAACCAGCCTCAGACTCGGCTCAGAGCCCGGAAAATTTGATGGTTTCCCCGGGAAATTAGAGACGAAAAGAGAGGGTGCTGTAGAGAAAAAAGGAAAGGAAAGGAGACGGGGTGCGAGAGGAAAAGCTTGTTCAGCCCAACCGCCGTGGGAGGGCCCATCTCCGTAGACGTACAGACAGGTAGCCCACGTCGGCCTCGCTCGTGAAGCTCTGCTCCGCGCCCGCCGCGTCGATGCGTCGAGCGAAGTGACGACGCGGGCAGCAAACCAAGTCCAAGAGCAAGACCTCATCTCTCAAGAAAGCTGTTCGCTCGAACCGCGGCCGACTCCGCCATCGCGGCCGCAGCTGTTCTGAGCCCTGGCTGTCAGGCTGTCAGGTGCTGTCAGGTGATCTGTCGGGCTGTCGGGCAGCTGTCAGGCACTGTCAGGTGCCTCTGTCAGACCAGCTGTCGGGTGCTGTCAGTGCTGTCGGGTGCTGTCGGGTGCGTGTCTGACATCAGAGGGGCTCTGTAGCTGTCGGGTGCTGTCAGAGCTGTTAGGTGTTGCTGTCAGACGCTGTCGGAGCTGTCAGAGCTGTCAGGCTGCTGCTGCTGTCAGACGTTGGGCTGTTGCTGTCAGGTGCTGTCAGGTGGTGCTGTCGGGGTGCTGTCAGGCTCTGACACACACCAGCCACACTTATGACACTATCAAGAGGAGACCAGCAGGACTCTACTGCACACATACTCTAGTCTCTACTCTGCCTCCGGCCCACCATCTTCTTCATGGTGGACGTCACCATCTTCTTGTCTGCCGCACTGAGAGAATAGCAGAGAGGCAGGCTGGAGTGCTTCTTCAGGTACACCTTGCTGATGATCTGGTAGTTGCTGGTCCAGCGGAAGGCCTCCCCATCGTTGTCGCTCGTCAGCTTGTAGTACTTGCACGCTCTGTTCTGGTAGCGCGGGCCGTCTGGGGGGGTCCCGTCACCCTTCACCTCACGGTACCACCGGAGGATAAAGAGGCCCTTGGGGTCGTTGATGAAGACCCCGTTGCTGCGCTGACTCATCGAGAGCTGGCGCAGGTACTCTGCGCTCGAGCTGCCAGTGGCGCGGCGCGCGTCTACCGTGCCGTCGGCGACGCAGCTGCCCCCCTCCTACGGCGTGATCACGCCGGCAGCGGCGGCCGCCTGGGGAGCGCAGATGGCGGCGCAGGCGCAGGCAGCGGCGGCACAAACGGCGGCGGCCACCCCCACCCAGACGCTGTAGGCATATGGTTGTAGGGCCCCAGAAGGCTAGCTGGTAGCTTCATTTGTAGTAGCACAGCCGCGGGTCCGCAGAGGTGGGGCGGGAGGGTTGAGAGAGCGACCCTAGGAGAGACCCATGACCATCCCATGACTACATGTCTTTGCATGTAATAGTTTTGTTATACCCTCATGGGGCACAAGAAAGAGGCTGCACGGCCTGTGTATGGTCTGTGCTGCTGTCGGGCTGGTCGGGCTGTCGGGCTGTCAGCGCTGCTGTCAGGCCACTGTGTGCTGTCGGGCTGTCGGGCAGCTGTCAGGCTGTCACGTTAGGGCCTGACAGCGACAGAGCCCCTCTGATGTCAGACTCTGCTGTCAGGCTGTCAGATACGTGCTGTCAGGCTGTCAGAGAAGTGCTGTCAACACTGTCAGGCTGTCGGGCACTGTCAGGCGCTGTCCGGGGTTTGCTGTCAGGCTGTCAGACCAGGGCTCAGCAGCTGTTGAGCTCTCCAGAAGACTGGTGCCTCATATGCTACCAGGTCACAGTATGGGTTCGGGACTCATGTGCTGCCTCCCTGCGGATGCTGCCGGCGAGGACTCGGAACGCGAATGTGACAGGACCATCGGGTCCTTCAGCCACCAAAGTGAGATCACCCGAGAGCAGCTGAGCCTGCCTCTGGCCTCGCCTCCCTCTCCTTCAGGCATTCGTGGCATCCTATGGGTCGTCCAGAGTATCGACCTCTGGCGAGTCAGCCAGTCACTTGATGACACCATGAAGTACAGCGATCGCCAACTCGCTGGCCTCTCCGCAGGCCCCCCCGACCGCGTCGAACTCATCGGCGCGGGCTCTCTCGGCTACGGGACCGGCCCCAGCTTCGGCTGAGGGCTAACAAGCTGCCGAGCCCAAATCACTTTGCGAGTCGTGATTTCTTGTTGGTCTTCAAAAATCTCTCTCATCTCTCTCTCTACTCTCTCGCCTTTCCACACAAAAAAACAGGGCGGCAACCAAGACCTCATCTCTCTCCCTCACCTTTCCACAAAACAAACAATCCTTGCCACAGCCTTTGTTAGAGTTGTTTGTGGTATTGAAAATCTCTCTCTCTCTCAGCCTTTCCAGTCGCGCGCATCAACAAAAACAATAAATGTCAAAATGTGTGAGTGTCAGAGTTAGAGTTGTCCTTGGTATTGCTAAAAATCTCTCTCGCGCGCATCCTGGCCGCTCCGCTGAGTTGGGTTGTAGTCTCTGTCTGTGTGACTGTGTGGGTCTGTCGTGTGTGTGTCGTCGCCCAGTGGCCGTCTCTCCGTCTCGGCGATGTTTTTCTTTTGTTGTCGATTTACGATTCTGAAAGAGAGATTTTTGAAGACCAACAAGAAATCACGACCCTCACAGTGATTTGGGCTCGGCAGCTTGTCAGCCCTCAGCCGAAGCTGGGGCCGGTCCCGTAGCCGAGAGAGCCCGCGCCGATGAGTTCGACGCGGTCGGGGGGGCCTTGCGGAGAGACCAGCGAGTTGGCGATCGCTGTACTTCATGGCGCCCTCAAAGTGGGGCTGGCTGACTCGCCAGAGGTCGATACAATGGACGACCCATAGGATGCCACGAATGCCTGGAGGAGAGGGAGGCGAGGCCAGACAGAGCTCAGAGGCAGACTCAGCTGCTCTCGGGTGATCTCGCTTTGGTGGCCGAAGGACCCGATGGTCCTGTCACATTCGCGTTCCGAGTCGCGGGGGTAGAAGATTGCGGGGGGGCATCGAGTCAGCACTTCCTTGTAGTACAGCGGACCGCCAGGCTCGCCGGCTCGTCGGCGGCCAGCCGTCGCGGGCCGGGCCGAGCCCGGCCTCAACCGGCCGCGCCGCCGCAGCAGGCCCGGAGGCCCACATGGCGGCCGACCAGCTGATCTTCGATCTGAAAGAAGGAGAAACGACATGCGGTCGAAGTTCTCCACCGTCCCTAACTAACTAACACACTCACTTCCTATCTCCCCGGCACTTGGAGCACTTGGAGTGCAGTCATTAACCTCACATCCAGGGCCGGGGAGCTGAGAAGCGCACCCAGCGAGCCGGATGATCGGCATCGGGCTACGGGCTAGAGAGCCCTGACCCCTAGCTAGGGGGGGTGCGCATTCGCAGGGCAAGGGCCTTAAAGTAAACACGGGTCTCCGAGGGTTAGCTCCGCGCTCCAGGTTTCCCCTAGCAGCAGAACGCCCCCTCTACTCGGAGCTAGTAAACACTCGACACGGACTCGACGCCCATCCACACCCGGCACCTCACCACACCGGGCCCCTCTTCGAGGTCTCCCAACTTTCACTCCGGGGCGTCTTCCCCCACCTCTCGGTCCTTCCTCCTGGCCGCATCCCGATAGTTGTGCGACGGGCGCGGGGCCCGACCTCCCCTCCTAGCCTTTTTCGGCTGCGGCCCCGCCGCCGTCTCGTCTTCTCTGCCTGATCCTGTCGACTCCGCCTCCGGCGATCCCACGCCCGACTCCCCGGGTGAGGGCGGCGGCATCACTCGTCGCCACTCCTCTCCGGGAGGTCGGGCCGGCTCTCCCCGGTCAGCGAGTCGCGCCCGCACCCGTGGCCTCTCTATCGTCCTCGGCTCGCCCTCCCCTTCCTCCTGCTCCTCACTAAACTCGGGAAGGCGCGGTCCCTTTTGTCGTAAGTCACGGCGGTCTATCCAACGCCGCGACGGGTCTACCCCTGGTGGGCTCACACGGCCCGGTTCCACTCGCAGAGGCCGAGTCAGCTCGACTCTCACCTCCTCCGAGAGTTGACCCCAAGCCCCCCCCGGGGCCCTCCGGCCACGGCCCTCCGGTTCGCCGGCGGGTCCGTTATCGTATTGCGGCGACTCCCCTCCCCCAGCTCCACCTCTCGGGTACTCCAGCCTCCGGTGGGGCGGCTCCGGATCCCTCTGATTATTCCGAGTGGGGCCACACGGTGGCGGCTCCGCCGGCGGCGGGGGTGGAGGCGGAGGCGGGGGTGGCGGGCACGGTGGCGGCCCTCGCGGCCAACGCGCCTGGTGTGGAGCCGCTGGGGCGGCCCCACGATCCTGCAGCCGTTCCAGCGGCGGGGGCGGAAGTGGCAGCGTGGGTGGGGGAAACAGTGGCGGCACTGGCGGCCACACCGCCTGGTATGGGGCCTCAGAGTTGGCCCCTCGACCCAGCGGTTGCTCCAGCGGCGGGGGCGGAGGCGGTGGTGGTGGGGGTGGACCTGGTGGCGGAGCCAGCCGCCCCAACTCCACGAGCGGGGCTTCGGGGGCGGCCCCTTGCCCCCGCGGCCGTTCCAGCCGTGGTTCCACGCGTCGGCCGTCCACCCCGCTCGTGGGGGGGGGCCTAACTCTCGTCTCCCCTCGGGGAGGGGGGGGGGCAGGGCCCGGATTCGTCGACGGCCCCGCCTCTCCCCCCTCCCGCTCCGCATCAGGCCGCAGACTGCGCAGTAGTCGCGTCGCCTCCCCCCTCGCCCGGTCCTTCTCGATTCGGTCCCGCACCGCCCGGATATCAAAGGCCGAGTTGTGTTCGGACAGTGGGCCCGCCGATGCCACACGCCTCTTCACACAGCAGGCGTACGCCTTCAGCGCCTGTCTCCCCGACGACGTCGGTCCTGGTGCAATGTCGTTGACGAGGTAGTCCTCCCCTTCCCACCGGAAAACCTGTCCAAGAAGATCTGTCGAGCCGACCAGTCGTTTAGCCAGGCCCCGCACCTCTCGTGCCTGTACTGGCCTGAGCACGCCGGTGCTGGCCGCGAACGACAGACCGATCGCCCTAAGTTCCGCCAGGACTGCCTTCTCGCCCGCCACCGCGGCCTCTTGATCCCTCTCGGCTTCTCGGATCGCATCCCGTCGTTGTCTCACCCTGTCTGCTGCCGGCACGAACCTCACCGGGCTGTCTCGTGTCCTTTGTGGCAGAGTCCGTGCGTGTCGGGGAAGGCCGACCCGCAGGTGCGGCCCCGGCTCGGGATGCGCTCGCCTGTTGCGGCGGCTGTCCCCCCCTCGCCGCCAACCCGCCTCCTCTGCTCCTCTTCTCACGGACCACAGGGGCTGCGCAACAAAAGCACACGAACACTCCCTGTCCCTGCATGGCGTGGCGCAGGCGCACCCTCATCCCCTCCTCCGCTCCTCCTTCCACCCGCTCAGAGATTCGTTCCAGGATGGCGCTAACCACCTCTTCGGCCACTTTCGCAGCCGCAAGTCCGTCTTTCGGCTTCACGTGAAACAGTGTGCGGAATTTACCGCCGCACCCTTTTCTTCCCAGTCGCGGATGGCCTCTCGTCGGACACGCTCCGGCGTCTCGGCTTCCGACTTCCCGTCGGTTCCCAAGACACCGCCAGGAGCGCAGAGCGCCTCGAGTGAGGCTCCCTCCGCCGCCTCCCGCCCGGGCTACTGGCGCGAAACTGTCGCGTGGTATCCGGACGGCATCTTCGGCCCGTACCGGCCTCCGTCGACCGGCTACAGCCGCCGAGAGCTCCTCGCGGACGGCGTTGTGCACGTGGCGGGAGTCGCGCTAGGTTTCGTCGGCGTCGGCGCACTCCTCGCCACGCAGGCCGCCAAGCGGCCTCCCGCCGAGGTGGTTGGCGCGCTGCTCGTCTACTGCGCCTCGCTGCTCGCGATGCTCCTCTGCTCCGCCACCTTTAACGGCCTCGCCTGGTCCAAGCCGCACCTCTGGGCGCTGCAGCTCGCAGACCACACTGGGATCCTACTCCTCATCGCCGGCACCTACTGCCCGATCATGGCGATGGCCTGCTGCCCGCGCACGCTCGTCTTCGTCTGGGGGCTAGCGCTCACCTCGTTTGCCGTCAAGGCGAGCCGCTCCCGCCTCGACGTGGTGAATGTGCACGTGCCCCTCTTCATTATGATGGGCTGGGCGGTGGTCTCGGCGTGGGGCGACGTGATGGGAGCCCTCACGCCGTGGGCGCAGAGCATGTGTCTCGCCGGCGGGCTGCTGTACACGGTGGGCCTGGTGCCCTGGGCGGTTAACCGCCTCGAGTACCACAACGCAGTCTGGCACGTGTTTGTGCTCGCCGCATCCGGCTGCTTCTTCGCCGTGCAGCTGCTCGAGGTGGCGCAGCCGGACCGGTGGGGTGCGGGAGCGCGGCCGGCAGCGGGCAGCAAAGGAGGGGCTTGCCTGCTGCCGTGAGCGTGACGGAGGCGCGAGCGCGCGCGCGCGGGGGGCTGAGCCGAGCCCACTATGACTGATCCGAGGACTGATCTCACACAGTTTTTTGCCGTGTACCGTACGAGAGTGTCACGTCACGAGCTCGGTCACCAGCGGAACTCACGTGACAGCCTAACAGCGTACTCTCTGACGAGAGGTACGTCTGAGCTGTGAGCTCGCCGCTCTATATTCTAATCCGCAAACACGTACACCACACGCGCTCCGCCTTCGCGCCTCGCCCTCCGTCCCGTCACCGCATCACCTCCTGGAACTCTGTCAGTAGCGCCATCAGCTCGGGGTCCGACGAGTACTTCGCGAGAGCCGCCGGCGAGAAGCCTTGCGCCTGCACGTCCTGCAGCGCCGCCAGAACCTTTGGGTTCGCCTGCGCCTTTTGCATCAGCTGCATCGCCTTGGGGTTGGACATGACCTTGGACAGCATCTCTTGTATCCCGCCCATCCCGCCCATCCCGCCCATCCCGCCCACGCCGCCCATCCCGCCGAGTCCCGAAAGGATGTCGCCGAGGCCGCCCATGCCGCCGGGCATGCCGCCGCCCATGCCGCCGGGCATGCCGCCGCCGGGCATGCCACCGCCCATGCCGCCGACACTGCCCGGAGCCTGATTGCGAGGCATACGCTGCGTCTGCCCCTCCACCACGTCCGCCGCCGCCTCGGGCGCTGCCGCCGGAGCGTCGCCGGTCTCGCGCGCCAAGCGCAGCGCCGCCACAAATTCCGCTTTCTCAAAGAAGCCAGTGGTGGTCACGCCACGCCGCTGCAGCTCCTCGCGAATCGCCTTGAGGCTCATCGCGCCAATCGCATCGCCTTCCGCGGCAGGCGTTGCAGAAGCGGCGGCAGGCGGCGGCGGCGGCGCGGGTGGCGGCGGCGCAGCAGGCGCCGGCATACTGCGAGCTTGGGTGAGCGCTGCGACGAGCTCAGTCCGCTCGAAGCAAACGCCGCGCCACGTCACGCCGCGCGAGTCCAGCTCTTCCTTGATTTCCTTCAGCTTCATCTCCTCTGGTGGCATCGCGACCTCACTGCTGAGCACTGCCAGCGATCGCACGGAAGGAGAGAGGAAGAGCCGGAAGGGACGACAGGCCGGTGACGGTGATACGGTGAGGCATCCCGCTCCAGACACCATCAGGAGGAGGAGGAAGCTCGAGTAGCACGAGTACGAACGCATCTCGACGCGGCACTGTCCGCGACCACTCTCCGTCCTCGCGTTTTCCAAAGAATTCTGGATACCATGCAAAAAGATATGCCAGTCCGCTGCCCAGTCCTGTGCCCAGTGTTGTGCAAAAAGAATTAAAGTCCGCACCTACCTACCCCAGCGGCGGGGGCGGGGGCGCTTGTACCTACCTACCTACCCCAGCTGCCATCGAATGACTCGAGGGCGACGCGACAGAGGAGGAAGCGACAGGAGGGAGAAAGAACGACGAGAGTGGGACGACCGCGAGGTGGCATGAAGGTTGCAGCGAGAATCGGCGAGGGACTGCGAAGGGAGATAGAAAGAGGCAGACGACCAAGGGTTAGGGTGGGCGACGGCTAGCACCACACTCCTCTCCTTAACCCTTTTACGTCCACATTTCGAGTGAGTGAAAACCAACTCCTGAGCACGGCGCCGCAGGCGCCTGTTGATAGGTCCAGGTGATAGCCCTGGATGGGCAATGCATTCGCCTACCTGGGCCTCAATTCGCCCGACCGCGTCCCGGTGCTCTGCGTTCGGATTTGTGACGCCGCCGCACCGCGCCGCGGCCGGGGGCCCGCCGGAGGACGAGGATGGCCGTGACGGACCGGGACGAGCTCTGGGAGGTTCAGTGTCAGTGAGTATATTGTAGAGACTGACCATGTGCACAATATATTGACTGAGAGCTAAGCCAGGGGAGGCGATGCCGGGGCCGTACAGCAGCTTGATGGTGCTTCGCCGGAGTAGAAGCGGCCGCGGAGGGCTCCGGGTGCCTGAAAAAGACGGATTTACGTGGGCTGTGGGAGATTTACTGTCGACTCAAACGACACTGTGCCGTGATCCTCTCATATAGGGTTAAATATTTACCGAGCCGTTTTAAAGTTCCACCGCTACGACTGGAGATATATCGAGATTTGCTCTTCAGGAGCGCTATGGCGCGAAAGGGTTCAAAAATCCCTGTGTGGTGGCGGCGTGCCGTCCTCCCATCCCTCCCTTGGGTTGTCTCTTTTCTTTCTTTCTTTTTCATCGAATGACTCCGCATGACTCACTGTGTCGTGTGTGTGCTATAAGACAGAATGTCCGCAAAGCCGAAAACGGGGTTTACGCGTTTGGTTTGTCTTCCCAAGCATTAGCATCCGGGCGCCGCAGGACTATCGCCGGCCCGTAGGTGTACCTAAGACCCTTCTCGAGGAGTTAGTGCAGCGTGCTCGCCTCAGCCACCGCCGACGCGCCGACAACTCCCCTGAAGAAGGCAGGCATCAAATGTCGATCGAGGACGGGGATCATCACATGCTGAACAAGCTCCTCTTGAGTCTTGTAGCTCGATCGGTCACACCGCCATCGCCGCCGACGTCTCCCAGAGTGAGACGATATGGAGAGGGGGGACGACACCTGCCGCTTCAGCAGCGTGCCTCTGGGGGGGGGCGGGGGCCCCCGGAGGCGCACCGTGCGCCGCGCAGCAGTGCGGAAACCGGGCTCACAGTCGCTCACAGTCACCCACAGTACCAACTTCCCGAATGATTACGGTTGATTAGAGGGCAGATTTGGAGAGATCTCGAGGAGTACACACAGATAGACCCTCCAGTCATGAGAAACCTCCAACCTGATCGGTCGTACTGACCGCCGACAGATCACTCCAGTCTCCAGACAGCAGACAGGCCCGACGTCTGCACGCGGCCGGTCGGGCGAGAGGCTTGACACGATCCGACCCTGCGACCCTGACGCTGCTGCTCTAGCTATCAAACATGCACTGCTGACTGCTGCCACAAGGTGCAGACAGCTCTGAACTGCGCCTCACCACTGACCGGGAAGGCCGCGCCAAGTGGGCAAGCACAGGTCACACATGAGCGAGGGAGATAGCATGATTAACTTTTTAACTCTACCCATGGGCGTGGGCCGTGGCGGCCATTTTTTTGGTGGGTCCTCGCTGATTTTTTCTCTACGGCATGGGTAAAAGTCTGCCTAAATGACAACCAGTGCCCGCGCGGATCTTTCAATCCGGCCGGCATGTCTAGTGCGGCCTCGACGCCACTAGGTCCATTGGGCTGAAGCTTGGTTGATCGGCGAAGGAAGGTGATGTGCAGAGGGCTACATGCAATTTGCAAACTCGTCCGAGCCTACTCCCAAGCCCCGACCAGAGTGCTTCACTGGAGCCGCGGCCCGCGCTTCTGCCCACTTGCTGGTCCGTTACCGCTGCTCGAGAGGTGACAGTTCTCATCTGGCGCCGCGGGTGGCCGTCAGCGCTCAACAGCACAGCAGGACTCTCAAGTCACCAGCGGCACTGGTGCACGAGGCTGCGGTTTCCGGTGCTTCCCATCGCAACACGACTGCGGTGGACGGCACTGCAGCGCTCATCATTATTGACGCATGGCCCGGCACGGGAATCGGCCACTCCATCTTGGGCACCGCGAGGTGGCTCAACTTTGCCACCACCACAAACACGACCATCAAGTTTGCCTTCTGCCTTCCAGCGAGCGTGACAAACCGTGCGGCGTCTCGGGCATCACATACACGTTCACGGCGCTCCTGGCCAAATTGCAGCTCGCCCACGACGTTTGATCTGTATCGGTACATCACGTGGAAGGGGCGAAGCATACGGGCGTCGTCCAGCGTGCTCAACGGCGTTCGTGCGGTCCTTGAACATGCGACGTGCGAGGACATCCAAGATGCCGCGCGGAGCGTCCGCTTTGAACGCATGTCCTTGGCCTTGTTCTACCCGCACATCAAAGAGCTGCGGCGGTGCATTGGCAAGGGAGGCGTGGGGAGCCGCAGCCGCACTCTCAACGACCAGCGCCTCCACGAGCTCGAGTTCAACGGCACGCTTCCGGCGTGCGACGTGGGCCTCCACCTCCGCACAATGAAGCTAGACGACGCTTCTTGCAACGCTATGGATGCGACGCATAACGCGCTTAATGGCTCCGCAGAGTGCGCAGGCCGGCTGTTGCGGAAGAAAGCAAACGCTTGCGACATCCCAAAGCTCAACTTGAACACGGAGAAGTGCCACGGGGCTCGCTTTGCGACATCCGACTCAGATGCAATGTACAAGCAGCTCACGTCATGGGCGAATCTTGGCGAAACTGCCATTGCAACATGGAGCAATGGGGACAAACTCACGGATGCCCGGGAGCGCCAGCGGCGGTACAGAGAAACGGTCCGTGCGTGGTTCACGCTGGCCTCCTGTAAGCAGATCATCGCCCCGGTCGAGTCAGCTTTCTGGAGGTCAGCTGCACGGCACAGCCATTCTCCACATTCGGAATGCTGCTGACTTTTACCTGTCTGCATTGACTGCCCTGCTGCAGCTTTCGCCTCGGAAAAGAAGGGAAGAAACGGTGCACATGATCCCATCCTAGGGCTGGGGAAGGACATACGCGTCCCTCCCCCCCTCTGGGCTCTGTCGAGTCGTTCCGCACGCGCAGAAGCTTGCAGTCACAAAGAGCTTGACTCCCTCCCCGGCGCACGTCACAGGACTCAGGAGACAGGACGGCAGCAGTGGACATAATTTCGCAAACGACGCGGCTTCTAATGTTCTTTGAGAACCGTCCCCAGGGCCTCCACGGCTCGCACCCCAACCTCTCACAGTCAGCGCCAAGGAGGAATGAGCGCCAAAGGAATGGGAAAAGAAAACGCTGCGATAACCAAAGCGAGCCGACGTTTTCGCGTCAGAGCAGTCACTTCAGGAGCTCTCCGTCAATCTGGCAGCGCGATGCCGCCCGCGGAGTTCGTGCTGCTCCCGCGCGATTTACCTTGGGAGCGTGCGTACGACCGCGAGGACGCGAACGCGCCGCAGATCGCCAAGCTGCGCCTCGCGCTCCCTGCCGACTACCCCGCCGGGACCGTCCTCAAGCTGCCCATGCCGTGTGCGTGCAGCGAGCACACGTCCCGCTTCACTAAGATCAAAGCGGGGACCTCAGTGGTCATCAAGTGGGACCTCGGCATCTGCGGCCTCGCAGCGTCACCAGGTGCGGACGGGGCGGCGGCGGGGGGCGCAGAGGTGGCGGAGGCGACAGAAGCAGCACCGCCGCCGCCGGCCGGGCTGGAGAAGGGTGCGGAGTTGGCAGTGGCGGAGCCGGCGGATGCGACGGCGCCAGGCCCGGGGGAACCGCAGCTCAACTCCGAGCTCAGCAGCAGCGAGCTGATCAGGAGCGAGCGGAGCAGCACGGGCTTCAAGGGCGTGAGCATAGTGGGCAGCGGTGCCACGCCGTTCGGTGTCCAAGTGTACCGCAAGGGCATCAGCGTCATTCTCGGCCGCTACGCCACCGCGGAGGAGGGGGCGCGGGCCTACGCGGCGACGCCGGAGGGCATCGCCGACCTGGCGGCAAGGGATGCGCCGCCACCGCCGCCGCAGCCGCAGCTCCCCTCCAACTCCGAGCTCAGCAGCAGCGAGCTGATCAGGAGCGAGCGGAGCAGCACGGGCTTCAAGGGCGTGTACAAAGTGAGCAGCGCTGCCACGCCCTACCGAGTCCAAGTGTACCGTAAGGGCAAGACCGTCACTCTTGGCCACTACGCCACCGCAGAGGAGGGGGCGCGAGTCTACGCTGCAACGCCAGAGGGCATCGCCGACCTGGCGGCAAGGGATGCACCACCACCACCGCCACCGCCGCCGCAGCCGCAGCTCCCCTCCAACTCCGAGCTCAGCAGCAGCGAGCTGATCAGGAGCGAGCGGAGCAGCACGGGCTTCAAGGGCGTGTACAAAGTGAGCAGCGGTGCCACGCCCTACTATGCTCAAGTGTACCGCAAGGGCACCACCGTCATTCTCGGCCGCTACGCCACCGCGGAGGAGGCGGCCCTCCGCTACGCACGCTCGGTAGAGGGCAAGGCTGAGCTGGCGGCCAGGTCTGCAGCCAGATCAGCGCCGCAGGCCAGTACCGCGCCCCGCAAGCGGCAGAAGGTCGAGACCGCGGTCGGCGCAGGCGGTGCCGCCACTTCCGCCTCTGCCGCCGCCTCCCACTCCGCCGCCTCCTCCACCACCGCCGCCGCCTCCGCTGCCGAGTTCGAGGTGGACCGCATCCTCTCGGAGCGGCGCCGGCCGAGCGGCGGCGTCGAGTACCTCGTCGCGTGGAAGGGTTGCTATGCCCCCTCCTGGGAGCCCGCCTCCAACTTGGCGGACGAGGATGGCGCGGTGTGTGCGGCGCTGCTGGCGTGGTGTGCGTCGCGCGTTGCGCCGCACCAGGGCGGCCCGGCGACCGAGCTCGGTATGCCGGCGGCAGAGCCCCTCCCGCCCCTCGGCATGCCGGCGGTGGTGCAGGCTCTCGAGGGGGTCGGGCTGGGCCGGTACGCGGCGGCGTTCGAGGAGCAGGGCTATGATGACCTCCGCTACTTGCGGACGATGGACGCGGCGGAGCGCGCCACGGTGGCGGAGAGCGTGGGCATGAAGCAAGGCCACGCCGACAAGTTTGTCAAGTTCGCGTTTGAGCCGGCGTAGCATCGAGGCTGGCGCAAGTCGAGAGCGGCGGGCGACGTGCGCGAGCGAGCGGGGCGGTGGGGACTTTTGCGCGCCTCTCTACATAGAGCCCCCTCGCAGATGATGCAATGTACGATTCGTTGCTGTACGTTGGTGTGTGACTTGTGTGGAGAGTCGACTCGTATGTGGTGCGCAGTGTGTGTGCGATCCGTGTGCGTGCGCGGCGCCGCGCAACCGAGCCGCGGTAGTAAAGAATAATCGTACGGGCGCGCCTGAGTTTCGCTGCGCCCAGGCCCACCCACCAGACCGCGCAGTGCGCACAGGGACGCACCCGAGCAGCGCTGCGCCGCCGCTCGATCGCGTCTCCCCAGTGGTGGCCGCGGCTCTCGCCCCTCTTGCCCTTCCCTCCCCGACACGCCCCGCAATGATGCACACGGCCCTGCAACCCGCGATCTCACTCTGGCCCAACGCGGCGCGAGATGCGCGGGAGGCCGTCAACAGTGCGGTCCGGCGTCCCGTTGCTGCCGCCACCCCCTGCTCACGTCGCGATCGCCGCCGGCTGCGACGGCAGCGCAGATTTGCGCCGCATCGCGTCGACGCCGCCTGGCCGCGAGCCGCCGAGCTCGCCAAACGCAGTCGGCTCGCTGCTGGCGTCGTCGAACATCGTCATGCCCGACTTTAGCTGCTGCGCGCGCATCGCATAGGCGAGCGACGCCTTCGCTTTGAGCGCGTGCTTCACCTGCGGCGGCGGCGCGGCCGCGTCACGGGGCGAGGGGCAACGCGCGCCCTGTGCTCGCGCCCAGCGGCACGCACCCGCGGGTACAGCGGGTTTGCCTCGGCGTCCGCCTCGATCGCCTTCCAGTGCGACTGCCTCGCGGCGAGCCGCTCAACCTAAACAGGGGGGGGGTGGTCGGTCCGGGGGGGGGGGGGGGGGGTTCCATCCGTCCGGGGGGGGGGGGGCCCCGGGATTCCCGGGGGGGGGGAGGGGGTTTTGGGGGGGACCCCCTTTTTCTGGTTTTTCTGGGAGGGGGGCCAAAACCCCTCAAAAAAGGGGGGGGCCCTTTCCCTTAAAAAATTTTCCCCCTTTCCGGGGAACCCCCGCCCCCCCTTGGGGGGAAGGGGGGCCCTTTTTGGACCCGCAAGGGGGGTTTGTCCCGGCAAGCCCCCCGGGAGGGCCCAAAAAAAACTCCCCCGGTTTTTTGGGGGGGGGCCGGGGGCCCCCAAACCCCCCGGGGGGTGCAAAAAAAGGCCTTAAAAAAAAAAAGGCTGCCCTGTTTCCCTGTGAACCCCAATTTGGGTAAAACCCCCCCAAAAAAAAGGGGAAAAATTTGTTCCC